GTGTATGTGTTTGTGTTTGTGTTTGTGTGTGTGTATTGATTGAATGATTTTCCAGAGACAATGAGAAGACTGAAGATTGAAGATACTGGTGGCAATGGTAGAGTGGATGATGACTCAGAAACTTATCCTGATCGACCAGGCGAACCGAATTGCATATACTTTCTGAGAACAGGTTCTTGTGGGTTTGGAAGTAACTGTCGTTACAATCATCCCTCTACTGGTGGGCAGGTAAATGGCATCCTGAAATAATATCCTGATCGACCAGGTGAACCAAATTGCATATACTTTCTGATTGAATGTTTTTGTTGCTTGCTGTTGTTTACTAGGTTTATGATGGTAAAAACACCAGTGAGTTGCCAGAAAGAGCTGGACAGCCAGATTGTGTGGTAATTTATCCTGCATCTTTGTGTTTGGACTAAGGGTTGAGATGCATCAAGTTCTTGTGTTTGCATTAAAGTTTTTTTTTTTCTTTTTCTTTTCGGGTTTTGGTCATCGTCCATGGTTAATGCTTTTGTGGTTTCTGTCTTTCTTTTGTATTGTTTTCTAAATTTTAGTATTTGGAGTCCAATATCCGTCTTTGTTTAGAAAATACTTTCGTGGAAGTAATACTTTCTTACATTAACGAATTCTGCAATATGATTTGATTAAGCACGGCATCATTGTAGTTATTGCTTTTACATTCTCTAATGAAGTTAAAATTTGGATTAACTTCTTCACTTAAAAGATCTTTTTCTATTGAGCTATTTATTACTTTGTCCTATTTCTCTTGCTTATTTCAGAGTATATTTAAATAGAAAGATCATCTTTGTTTATATATCTTCGATTTTGGTAACTTATCACATCTCGTTTGTATTAAATAAACTAAGAAGTTATTCTTCTGTTCTAGGTTTGTTAGCTTACCTTGTTTTACGGAATGTAGTACATTTCCTGTGGTTTGTTTTACGGCCAACTCGATTTGCACTTGTTTATCCTGAACTTATTGTAACTAAATGGAATGCATTGTGTAGTGCAAAGGTGTTATATTTTTCTGAATGACATTGATTTCCCTTAGATATGCATCTGCTTTCGTATTTTGACTTTGATATATTGCACTGGCTCTTGTAACTTATTGACATTGCTATACAGTATTATCTAAAGACAGGCACATGCAAATATGGTTCTGCATGTAAGTATCATCACCCTAAGGATAAGCCGAGTGACATCGTGATGAATGCTTTGGGCCTGCCAATGCGTCAGGTGTCACTTCCGTGTTTTTTTTTCTCACCCATCAGAATTCATGTTCAACAGATTATTTAGAAGGTTCACATAGTTTAGTGGGATTATTGATGATTTTGATTGGTCATATGTTGTCTTCAGGGTGAAAAGTCATGTCCTTACTACATGAGGACTGGATCGTGTAAATACGGATCTGCTTGCAAGTTCCATCACCCTCAACCTTTTGAGGGGTCCGGAGGGTCTTCATCTGGTACAACACCTGCAGGTGAACTCTCGGGTGCATCATTACCGAAGGCAACTTATTTTGCTAATTCTCTTCAACTTCCTCAGAGCTACATGCCGTTATATGTGTCTTCACCACAAGGATGGAATACATACATGGTAGGTATACTTTTTATTGGTTAATATTCTTTTGTTTTTTCGATTATTCCTTTTGGGTTCAGTTATTGTTCGTCATTCCTTCATTCCTCGTTTTCTTGATTTGATGTTTTTTTTTTGTTTTTCAAGAAACGGTTCCTTTGAAATGTGTAGTGTTTCTTGCATATATGTGAACTTTTAGACCATTACTTTGGAATCTGCTTTTTTTTTTTTAATTTTAATTCCCTTTTTTTTAATGCATAGTTACTATTTTACGTTCTCTTGCTCTTTAGGGAAGTGTCGGTCCTCTACAAGTTACGAGTGTCCTCCAAACCTCACCAGCAGCTAATGGGCAAATTCCAGCTTCCTATCTGCCCGAAAGGCCAGATCAACCAGAGTGTCGATATTTCATGAATTACGGGAGCTGTAAATACGGATCAGACTGCAAATATCACCACCCCAGGGACAAGGTGTTAGCTTCAGGCACCATTGGTCCACTTGGGCTTCCTCTTAGGCCCGTAAGTTGCTTCCCATCTTCATTCTCAGCCATAAGTGTGTCTTTTTTCGTACCGAAACTTGGGGAAATTCGATACTTTTTATAGCATGTCACTACTTTTTGTGTTACTCTTTCCAACAAAATATAAATGTGGCTATTTTTTCATCGTGGACTAAACTAAGCATTGTACACGTGTAGAGTTTTTTCTCGTATTTTTTTCCCCAAGCACCATAATCATATGATTTTCCTGCTCCGATTCTGAAAATCTATTATTCCACGTCCCCATCAATCCCTGCACAGACAAAATTCCCACTTCAAATTTCGCAGTTGAAATCGATTTTATATATTTTGGTTCAGTTTTGCTAGGATTTTTGGTACCATGTGACGGACCCTAGCTTCCAAATGCAGGGGCAAACCGTGTGTTCGTATTACAGTTTCTACGGGCTCTGCAAATACGGGCCCACTTGTAAATTCGACCACCCATTGGAAGGATACCCTTACGCGTGCAGTGCATATGGCTTGAACGGGCCTCCTCTAAGCACGGTTTATCCGGACCCAGGCCCATATCAGAGAATGCCGATGTCCGATCCAAAATCATCAAAGTCGGGTGATTGGGTCAAGAAGAAGGGCCCAACTGCTAGCAACAGCGACGATAACAAAAAGGACGAAGCAAACGAAAAAGATTGGCTCGAGAAGAAAGACTCTCAAGAACCGTCATCTGAGGTTGTAATTCAGAATGGACTCGAGTGATATGTGAAGGATGATATCGTTGGGGCCAACCAAAGCTTGAAACTTTTCGACCACCCCAGAAAGGGGTTGAAGGGCCAGGCGAGGTTTATTTTTGGCTTCTTTTTTGTTTGTTTCCCCTTCACAAAGCTCTGGTATTTTTTGATGTTGTCTTAAATTTAAAGTCTCTGGCTACTGTTGTTTA